GCACTCGACGCCTAACATCAATACTGCTCACCCTGTTATACCACTTCACACGGGAGATGGGATGGAGACACTTATGATCAAAGACAGCTAGCTAGCCTTTTCATGTCTTCCACTCTCAATAGCCAGGTCTCACAGCCATAAAGGAGGACGGAGCGGACTGCTGAGCAGTACACCCTCCCTTTGGTCGGTAGCCAGCCGGATATCACGTCTACGCCAGAGACGGCGTAAACTGGCACATGTGAATCTAGCCCTCTGTATCGTGCTGAGATTTCTTCAGCGATCAAACCATTGGGGCTGATGCAACTTCCTAAATAAGTGAAGTGATCAATACGCTCTACCACTTCACTCCCTATTTCTAAGCTAGGAGTCAATGTAGTCCAGTCAACCAAAATACCAACATCCTAATTCAATCTGAAAATATTCAGCTCGGCCACTTTATTTTTTAACAATGAGAGAATAAAAACAGGAGAAGGAAACCTACAATTTTTTCAAAATAACTTTTTAGTTACTTCCAATAACTTAACGACAAAAATTATCTAAGAATTCATGAATGCCTTAGAAGACACTTGAATAACTGAAAATATCTTCCACTTAATTGATAGACTATATTAAAATCTATAAGACAAACAAAAGTTTTTACTGAGTGGTAGGTAATATGTTTAAAAAAAAGAAAGCTAAATTGGCAAGAAAATCATCTTTGCTTAAAATTAGATTAAGTCAGTAGCACTGCAATCAGGGTAGTGAAGTCATGGAAGGCAACAGAACTGCACGAAATCCCTTCTGAAGCATTGAAACCAGATCTAGAGACCGAAACGCAATTACCGATGCCACTATTCCAAAAGGTTTCGAAGGAAGGAATGGTGTATGCTGATTCGGAGAAAGGTTACCTTGTCAGATTAGCAAAGGGCTACAAAGGCCTTTACAAGAACTGGCGAAGAATAATGCTGCTGTCCACTCCAAACAAAACTATATTAAGTCCCATCAATCTGGAGAGACTAAAGGATGCACTGGATGCAGAACTCCGATAGCACAGAGCAAGCTGGACTCAGTGAAAGAAAATCATGTGCAGATTAAACTGAAAGGCCGAGCATTACAATCGACCGGAGCATAAAATGGCAGTCAAATCTCTACGTCAGTCTCATCGATTTTGAAAAGGCATTCAACAGCGTTGACCACAAAGTGATTTGGGAACTGCTTGAACACTATGCAGTGCAGTGCCCCAAACCTTTATCAACCTAATTCAACAGCTGGCTATATGACAATGCAACATGTCAAGTGATCCACAACGGAAAACTCAGCGAAGAAGCCTTTACATTGAATACAGGAGTAAGTCAAAGCTTTCTGTTGTCACCGATGATATTCCTAATTGTGGGGAGTGAGAAGATAGGGATACGTTGAGCCACCGATAAGAAGACACTGGAAGATCTGGACTTATCCGGCAACTTATGTCCAAAGTTACATAAACCTGAAGACATACAAACGAAAACCAACACGTCGGCAGAACAGGCAGTCAGCCAAGACAGGACTTCAAGAGAACAAAAAGTTGCACCAATCACCACCAACGGAACAGATTTGAAAGCGTTCACTCCCTTCACTTATGTAGGCAGTATCGTTTGAACTACAGGCAGTTGGCACAGATGAAGATGTGAAAACCAGAATCAGAAAGGTAAAACAGACACCTTCATCACTCTCAAATCAGTACGTAAATGTGTTACACTCAGCATAAAGAACATAATTCGTATGTGAGATTATGTGCAATTGTGGAGCCATCTACAGATGACTGCAGAGAACAGCAAAAAATGAAGATTTACACACACACACACACACCACCTATGAAGCCGTTTAAACACATCATCCCTGCAAACGTGAGTACTGGTCACAACTACATTTAACAAATACAAAAACTCAGAAATAAGAAAAACTAGAGCAAAATGAATAATTTGACAAAAAGGGTCAAAGAACACTATCCAGCGTGGCTGCAAAAATGAAGTAGTGGCCGTATAAGGAGTGCAATAATCGAACATCTCGTCAACACTGGTCATTCCATCTCAACAAACGCCTCCTGCTTCAAAGTAATCTACAAAGTAAAGAACAACCTTCCAAAGACAATACGTTTCCGTCTTCTTTGCATCGCAGAAGCTCTAGCCATTCAGCTGGAAAAACCAGAACTATGCACAAAAAAGAAAATTATCCAACCACTTCTACTCTAATGGTAACAACTCCGTTGATTTGACTTAACTTTTGTTCGTATGCCTATTTTTCTAACTACTTAAAACCCTTGGGTAATTCCGTATGTTATTTTGTTTCCATGTCACCCTGAGCACAACTCTTTCATCAAACTATTCACATTATTACGTAACTCTTCTTTAACAATCGTTTGTGAAAACTCATCACTTTTGTTACTACCCTCTTATATCAACATCCAATCCATCTGAACTTACTAATTGTATTCTCGTTTGACAAATTTAATGTACACACACATACAAAACAACCATATACATATATATTTTCGATTGTACAGCTATGAAAATGAATTCACCGCCTAAAAGAGACTCTTCGCTGAACTACTGGTCTTCTGTCTATTACTGTTCGAATGGGAATTTTTTCATGAGTTTGACAAGTGTTGTCGTGTATAAAAGTAGAAATATCGACGGCAAAAAAAAATTGCAGTCCAACTGTTTTATTTATTGTTATTGATCGATTTCTATCAGTTGGATGCGAAAATGCATTCACACAAAATAACATGAATTTCAAAATCAACCAATAGGATAAGAGAATTGAATAAAAATCTTTATAAAAAAAAATTAGAATTTTCTCCAAAAAGAAAATAATTAATCTATACAGAAAGTGGGATAATGACATCATCATCACGAATTTCACACTACCAATGATAAAACTAAACTGCACTCACATACATACATGAAGTACCAAAGATGTATGTCAGTGTATGTGTGCATGAGTGTGCGCGATCCTAGATACCCAGTTAACAAAATTACTATCGATCAAAATGTATGCTACACTGAAGTGAGACATGAAAAAGACAAAAAAGAAGATAACCAAATATAATAAATGAATATTCACTATATGCATAACCTATCCTTCTGTTTCGTCTCATCCCCAGCTATTTTCCCCTCACAACAAACAATAGTACAACAAATATCTAGTCACCATATGAAATGATGGCTATATAACATAGAATATTGAAAAATGGGCATATGTATATAAGCATTATGATTATAAAGTATATTAGTTACTTCATTGAATGAGACTAGTTCACAGAAAATGTGAAAATAAGGATGGGGACGTGGAATGTTCGTACAATGTACGAAGCTGGAAAGGCGAGTAGGACGTCGGTGCAAGGGTGACATGGAGGAGATCGTGTGAAGAGGAGTTGAAACAGGATGGACTAACATGGATTCAGGTGAAAAGTACAGCAGAAGACAGAAGCAAGTGGAGAGGTGCAGTTGAAGCCCTATGTTCCACTAGGAACCCAAGGGAACAATAATAATAAATAATAAACACACACACACAACTTATCGACTGACAACAATCGTCTGATTTCCTATTTTATTGCATTCATATTTCCAAATGTACTCTATCTTCCTGTCATATCTATTTCACGCATATCTATTGTACTTATATTGACCTTTATTTATTCACTTGTATATCTAATGTTTGTTATTTACGTATACAAATGAGGTTGGGAAGTTATGTGTGTGTATGTGTGCGCCTTGATATGATTATCAGAAATAAAATTGTCCTCGAAACGTGGTCATCAGTAAAATATCAACTGTATAAAACTGTGAGACTTTATCGAGTAAATTTATGGAATTATACAAGTATGAAACCTGAGTGCACACAGCGTTTCATCGATAAACTCTAATCAGCATTTAGATTAAATATGATCACATTCCTTGGAAAACCTAATGTCGATGAACGTTACTCCCCCCCCCCACCAAGCATATAAATGGTTAAATCATTAGCTAACCATATGAGTAGTTCTGGGTTTTCAGAAAAGAATTTATTGGGCTTTGGGTACAACTCAGCAGTAATATATACGTATAAGCTACACTAATAGTGTGTGCGTTGATGATTCATGACCCCTGAAACTTCGATAATGCAGCAAATTGTCAGTTGAAAGTAGAATGACCGACTCAATAAGCCACAGTTAAAGAAAAAATACTTTAGTTAACGAACTGATTCATTTATTATTCTTCCTATAAATCCCGAGTGGAACAACATAAGGCTTCAACAACACACCTCAGTTTCACCCTGTTCTCTACAGTCCTCCTCAGCTAGCTCCACGACTGCCTACAAGGTTTCATATCCTCCTCACACAACCTCCTGCATGTCACCAGCCAGGGACCCTAGCCCAACTCATCGTTTACCATTCTGGTTCCACTAGAGGTTAATCCTGGAGGGCGATGTTACTCAGTGGCGTGTGTCTGGTCCGACTCCATTTACTCCAGAAAATTTGTTGGGTAACAGGTTGTTGGTTAGTTGGTTTGTTTCGAAAGTTTCTTGTTGGTAATCCTTTCTGGTTCACTGTCTGGTCTTCAGTATGGAGTCATCAAAAGGCAGCTGTTGATAAAGTTTGCAGTGGACTGTTGGAAATGCTTTTCGTGACGCGCTAAGTCTCTGACCCATGCAGAAGAAACCACTCAGTTTTTGATGGTGAGTGCAGAAGATTTTCACAGTGATTTCAGTCAGTGATGAAGGTGTGTTATCCTGCCTTTCCTATACTGGCTAGTTTTGATATTCTTATCCATGCCGTCTGCTTGTAACTGAAATGATTCTGCCTAGATAAGTAAAAGAAGTAACCTTTTTCACATTTCTCCAGTTGACAGTGATTGATGCTTGGTTGTAGTTGTTACTTAGAGAACTTTCTTATATTCCCTATAACTTCAATAACCATGATTAGGATGAATAAATAGCAAACAGGGAAAATTATATAAAACCAAGATGAGACATCAAACCAGAGTAAAACATTCTCTGCTTACCTATGATCATTATAAAAGCATATTAAACGATTACGAGTACAATCCAATTTGATTGCAATAATATCAGGATAGATAGGTTCATTTCCAGTTGAATCATTGGCTACATCTAAAGAAAGCTTTGTAATGATAAAAACAAAAATAGAAAAAATTTCAGATAATACGTTAATTAGGTAAATAAAAAAAGAAAAACAATTTCGACAACAGTATGTATTGAAAAAAATCCACTTTCTCTAAAAAATGGAAATTATGAGTAAAGAATGAAATTTGTTTTCCTTCACTATTAATTTACTTCATCACGCTAAACAATTCACTCGAATACAGATCAATTTCTAATTGCTTAAAGCTTTTCATATTAATTTAATTATGTCTAAATCGATACTCTCGTCTGTATTATTATACACCTATTTGATATGGTGATCGATATATCCAGTCTGGAAATAGACCAATCAAAATTGGCCTACATAAAATAACGCCCATTATTTTATGGATGATGATTACAGACTAAATGATGTAACTATTCATGATGATTTTTTGAACTCAATGTTATTGTGTAAATATACTAACTTTCCGTCTTGTCTTTGGTGTGCTTTCGCATAATTTGAGGACTGAGAGATCGATTAGCAATTGTATTACAATTTTAGTGTAGATAAGTGATACTCGTGACCACCGCATCTGTCACCAGCTCGGCGTCCCTATTTCAACTCAACATTTTGAAAAATGTAATAGTATTTAAGTAGTAAGCATGAGACAACGTATGTACTGATCTTCAACCCATCACAAAATGATATAAGAAGTACAGCGCCATGCACAGCAGAGGTCCAAAATACTTTAAATTTCTTAGATGCATAATCCTAGTGCATTTGTCTGGGAATTTACACCTAACTACAACGCTAAGGAAGAAACTCACTAGCATCAAACAGTTTCACAGATCCTACTGAATTATCCAAAAATGAAGACCTATACACAATTGTACAGAATTTAAAAAGTAACAAAGACATGAACGTTTAGCCAACATCCATCCTCAATTCTATCAATTCTTACTCACTGACTACACAAATTAGTTAGAAGTAATCACATTTGGCCAAGGTGTTAAAATGCCAATTCAGGTATCTGAAAGCTTTTAAATACATATCAAACCAACAATCGAACTAAAGTTTTAAAGATATTTCCAGTCCCTTATAGATAAGATTTTATTTTGATAAATCGCACAGTGTTTACAGTTATATGAACTGATGACGTTTCGAGCACAAACTATTGCTCATAATCATATCAAGTTACTCACACAACTTTGATCTCTCATTTATATACATATGTGGAATGGATTAGATATTGGATTAAAAATCAATGTGAGATAATGTACATTCAGAAATAATCGTACGAGTGTTGTTGATCAATTGCAATTAGATGGGAAAATTGGACGAGTGTTTTTACAGTCATAATAAGCTGCTTGTTAGAATGTGTTTGAATTGAAATAGAATTTTAAGATTATTTATTATCTTCTTCTGGTTTGACTGATGGCATTAATACGAGTGTTATTGATCTACTATAATCAGATGGAAGATACGACGAGTGTTTTAATAGTCATAATAAGTTTTTTGTTAGGATGTTGTGATGTGTTTGAATCGAAATAGAATTTTAATATTATTTATTACCCTCTTCTGATTTGACCTGCGGTAATAATATCTTCCATATCTCTGGTATTTGCATTGAGTCATTTTTGTTGCATGTGTTGGGTGTGGACTCGATAAATAAGGATTCCGTAATCAACCTCTCTCTCCACTTAGCTATATTACTTTTTAGAATTTTAACCCTATCCCACCCTATTGTGTGGTTGTTTGTTATTGCATGAAGTGCAATAGCTGAGCTTTTTTCTAAATTACTTATCTTTTTAGGGTCAACCATTCTTACCTTAGCTAAATTCTTATGTTCTGTTAATCTGACTATCCCTGACCTACTAGTTTGACCTATGTAGTTGACCTCACAGTTATTGCAGGGTATTTTGTAAATTATATTATTTTGTTTAATTGGATCCACCGGGTCTTTTAGCCTACAGAGCTTGTCTCTGAGTGAGTTTGTAGGTTTGAATGCCACCCTAATTCCTGCTTTATTAAGAATCCTACGTAGGGCCTCAGATGTGCTTTCCTTATATGGTATAACAGTGGATGACTTATATTCTTTCTTATTTGTGTTATCATTAATAGTTTCACCATTATTTTTATTTTGCTTTTGGTTTTTGGTGATCTTCCTAATGAATTTTATAGGATAGTTATTCAACACCAACGCTTCTTCTATCTGTTTTATTTCATCATTTAGGTCTTTTTTTGTGCTACTTAGTGCTATGGCTCGATTTGTTAGACACTTTACTAAGCCTGCCTTAACAGTTAACGGATGAGACGAATTAAAGTCTAAATATCTATTAGAATGCGTTGGTTTTCTATAAACACTAGTGTGTAGTTTGCCTTCTTCTATTCGTTTTATTTTACAATCTAACATAGCTAATTCTCCTAGTTCATTTTCTGATTCAAATGTGAATTTAATTCCTTCTACTTGTGAGTTTATATGTGTCAGGAAGCTAGAGATATGTGCACATTATCTCACATTGATTTTTAATCCAATATCTAATCCATTCCACATATGTATATAAATGAGAGATCAAAGTTGTGTGAGTAACTTGATATGATTATGAGCAATAGTTTGTGCTCGAAACGTCATCAGTTCATATAACTGTAAACACTGTGCGATTTATCAAAATAAAATCTTATAATGGAATTATACTCTACCACAGTGCCCAAGTTTTATACTTATATTCCAGTCATTCAACAACAACAAAGGGATCACCAAGTGTGAACTATTGAGGTTATGCAGATCAGCATGGAGAACTAGATCAACATGGTAACAGGTACGTATTCAATGACCTAGTTAATATATAAAGCGATAAAAGGGGATATTTCAGTAAATGAGTTAACTTGTACTAACTGTGTTTTCGATGAAAGCTTAGACAAAGAGGATAACAGATAATATAGATTTGTAGTTCAAGTGGATGATTTAGACTTGGTTTGTGTTCTCTCAGCTGATTGATTTAACTGCTTGAGATGCTTTCTACCCCCAATTTTAGAAAAAATCTCTTCAGCACAGGCTTTAGTATAAAGTGAACTTTTCAAGTATCGGTTTGAAGGGATTTGATTGATTGGCTTCAGAATTTCTTCATGAGCTGGCATCGATTAGAGAACCATTGGAAAACCAGCTGGGACTACTGTTCAGCTAGCTGTTCCGTCCTAGTTTGGGACTCTTCTTCAGTACGCACCCACCACAGGGGTTAAAAACTATGACTTTCTGGTTACAAGGCGAGCTCGTAGACAATTAAGCCACTAGGACCCGAGCCATTCGCCAGCTCACGAATTCCAACTTGTGCCAATTCACGACATGACGTGACCGCAGGCCAATGTCTTCGGCGAGTATTTGTTCTCACGCCCGACCTGCTGTACCCTACCTACTGGTCACGACTTTCCACTAGAACCCAGCTGTTCCAATGGTTCTTTAACCGACATCAGCTCATGATGAAATCCTCCAACCAATTAATCAAATCCCAGCAAAACAATACTTTAATATCAATGAGATGCTCACTAGCGACTGGTCCTATTCAGGTAGGTAGTTCCCTGGGTTCTAGTGGAAAGTCATGACCAGTAGGTAGGGTACAGCAGGTCGGGTGTGAGGACAAATACTCGCCGAAGATATTGGCTTGTGGTCACGTCATATCGTGAATCGCAGAAGTTGGAATTCATGGGCTGGCAAATGGCTTAATGGTCTACGAGCTCGCTTTGTAACCAGAAGGTCCTGGGTTCGAACCTTAGTGGTGAGTGTGTGCTGATGAAGAGTCCTAAACTAGAACAAAGCAGCTAAGTAAACAGTAATACCAGCTGGTTTTTCAACGCTTCTCTAACCGATGTCAGCTCATGATAAAATCATAACACACCAATAAAATGAACTTGTTTGATTTTTTTTCATTTTTTTCATCTATATCGACTTGACAAGTAAATGTGTGATCAGATTGTTCGAAATGTATAGCGCAAATACATCACATTTTTCAGATAATCTCCGTCCTCTAATAACACTATCCAAATTTATAAAAGGGACTAATTGTTTTGAACTTGTTTGAATTTTCCATGATTCATTAAATAGTATCTCCTGACAGCAATTGTTGTAATTGGTTTTGCAATTTACATTGATCATTTTTATTGACTTGGAATTTGAATTTTTTCATGTGGTTTATTCTTTGTTAATTGGTAAATTTGTCCTATGGTGATGTGTTTGTTAGTCGCTGTTGCATCAGGCTTCTAGAAATTCTCTGTCGGCAGTTTTGGTGTTTCCTCTGTTTAAAGTTTCTACATTCTCCCAATCAAATTGGTGTCCATAATTGTCCACATGCCTTGATATGAAAGAATACATATCATGTCTTTCCCCAACTAGTTTATACTCTTGGAATTCTGAATTAAAAGGGAGGCACCCACTTTGACCAGTATGGTGTGTTTATCACAGTTTATGCAATTTATTTTGTAAATGATATTGATCGAATAAATTTACTTCGTGAATAAGACTTTCACTAACGGGAGATATTGTCTAGAAGGGGACAATGAAAGCTTCACAATTTGAATCAATTAGCCGGCCAGGTAGCTTACATGACACAGAACCAAATCAAAAGGAATAATATATATATATATATATATATATATATATATATATTACACAATCCAGTGTCTCATAGGATCAAATGATAGATGCCATAAACAACTATATAACAACTTACATGCAAACTTGAGCCCAATGTATGAGGCAAGGGAAGTTTAGCAATAAACTGTAAACTTTCAGCCTCAAAAATAAGGCAAACACCGGTAGTACAGCCAACAGTAACCCATGAACCACTTGTTGAAATACAATTTGCTCTAGATGTCTAAAAAATCAAAAAAGAAAGTTTTTAAACACTTTTATAAACAAAGCATAAAAATTGTTTGGAGGATTTTATCATGAGCTGACATCAGTTAGAGAACCATTGGAAAATCTTCCTGCGAGTATTGGACAGCTCTTTCGTCCTAGTTTGGGACTCTTCAGAAGAAGTAGGCACCCACTAATCCAGGACCTTCTGGTTACAAGGCGAGCTTGTGGACCATTAAACTTGGACGAAACAGCTGGCTGTCCAGTACTCGAATGGTGGTTTTCCAATGGTTCTCTAACTGATGTCAGCCGATGATGAAATCCTACAACCAATCAAACAAAAAATTACTACAAAACCAATAACTTGAAAACATAAAAAGCACATTTCAAATACCATAAGTCTTAATTTGACAACAGTTAACAATATTCAGAAACACTACAGGTTTTTAGTCTAGTGATGACTAAACACCTTTTATTTTATCTTAATTTTTTAAAGATTTGACGAAACACAATCAAATGACTTACGTTTATATGTCAAACTAAACAGTATGTCAGTGTATTTAAGCTAAATCAACAGCCTCCATCTATATTTAGATGGAAAAAAACACATTCCAAAACACTGTATGTGTTATTTCCAATAGTTTTAGTCGCATAGTTTGAAGATTAAAATACTTATCTTTTTGTTAACATCTCAACTACAAAATTAGTCTTATCACTCAACAAAGCTTCAAGAACTTACAAAGAGGTTTTATGATATCATCTTAAAAACACTTTACAGTGGAAACATAATTCTTTCATCTAAAACCAGGGCATGCCTACCCACTGTCATATGAAAAGTATTTCAATAAAATGAAAGTAATTTTTATAAACTAAGACAAATGTCATACGAAAAAGACGTAAACAGCGAAGAAAATTCTGCTTTTCGACGATACATTTTCATAAGCTGTACAATCGTAATTATACATTTAATAAAGAATTCATAGAACCAGCAAATAAGCCGGAAGAAAGCGAGGTGGATGGGCCATACTCTGAGGAACCATCAAGTGACATCACACGCCAGGCCATCGCTCGAGTGGAAGCCGAATGGGAAGCAGCGAGTTGGTCGTCCAAGAGTCATTTGGAGGAGTCCATGTTAAGAGGAGATGAAAGCATGTGGGTAGACGTAGAGCCAGATGATGAAAACGTTGGCAGAGAACCGAACACAATGGGGACGTGAGGCTGAGGCCCTATGTTCCCCTAGGATTTAAAGAAAATAATAATAATCATATACTGGTAAAAATGTGTCCTCGAGAAACGTGATGTAAGGTGTAACCTAGATGGGGTGATTAATTGGAAGTTAGAAAAGGGAGCAGGAGTTGGCCTGACGCAGTAATTGTGACAAAATGACTAATCAATATGATTGTGTAGAGTGGACAGGAACTAACGGAAAGATGATAGTGTTTTTATAAAATCTGTATGAATACACAGTGTTATTAATAAACAGTAATAGAGTGATAATAAAATATGGATGATGGGAATAATAATGATAATAAATAATAATAACAATAAAAATAAAAAAGAAGCAAAGTTACAGTAAGAGGGCTACTCTGGTCACGGTAGAGCGAGCGAATGTATCTAGTGCTTTTCAATTCAGAGGTCAAGTTTCAGATCCCGAATAGCCAATGATTCAGCTATGTACAGATGGCATATTCGAAGTCCTTTCGTACGTTATTGAGGGACTCTGTGTAGCAATGTGAAGTATTTATGCGGAGGTGCTTACATTACGTAATAAGTTTTCGAGGACAAATTTTTACCAGTATATGATTCATCTTATGAATTCTTTGTTAAATATATAATTACGATTGTACAGTTTATGAAAATGAATCGTCAAAAAGCAAAATTTTCTTCGCTGTTTACTGCGTTTCTTATGACTTAAGATGGGAATATTTCATAAGTCATAAGTCATTTATCATAAAGCGAAGATTTGAAAACCTGTCCAATTGATTCCTTATACTATTTCCTAGTTTACAATCCCAAAAGTGAACTGATTTTGAAGAGGAAGAAATAACTATTACCTTCGAGATTATCTGGCCTATTGAATATTCAGTAGCATAAAAAATTCAATAGATCTTAAAAAATCCAAATTAAAGTGTATATAAGTAATTCGATTGTATAAACAATTGATTGGTTGAAAAGACCTACTAAATTACAAAACACTTGAACTCGATTTTAAGCTGAAGAATTTTCATTTATTTTTCAATTAAGGTTAACAACACAAATGTCAAAAGCCATCTAGTTTTTAACAGTTACATAACACTAACTGCAAACTGGCATAAAAATTACTCCGAAATCAGTCACTTTCTAACAAACACAGCTCAGTAATAGTTATTCACTGATAATAGTGTTAGGTGGTACAATAGGTTGGGCAATATTGACATTGGACATCGAATGCCAGGCAAGGAGGGGAAATCAATTGACGAGATTGTGAAGTCATAACTATTGAGATGGTTAGGATATGAGTGACGCAGGCCTAGAGTCTAGCCATAGCCTTACTCGACGGACAATGTTAGGTAACATAGGATAGATCAGGTTGGAAAGGAGCTAGTGGTGGTCGAACCAATGAAATCCATTACAGTTAGTTTAAGTTGGCTACATAGAGAGGTGTAGACTGACTTCCTTGTTGGGTTCTTCGAGATGGTAAAAACCAGTGAAAGCTGGAGACAATAGGATATGATATGGCTTAAAATAGTTCTCAGTGGCTGGTGCAGATACATCCACTCCTTCTGATTTATAATTTCAATAAAATTCTATTGTTTCTCCATATTACTGTTCATTTTGCCTCATATTTCTTTTTATTATCTCTTAGGTGAATTTCTCTTTACTCTCTTTTTTGATTTGTGTGCTAAATGAAGGGAGGGTGGCATCTCGAAGTGCTGCACATCAGTGCAAAGTTCTACGTTGAAATCAGTCAGTCAGTCAATCAGTCTGATAGCAGTGAATAAAACAAGTTGGATGATATCCAAAATTAAAATGAATGGCAAAAAGTAGATCTATAGTAATTCCAGTAACTCAATAGCACTACATTTGTGAGTTACATATAAAGTCTTAGACAGGTATTGCCAATGCATAATACACAAGAATGAAACAATTATTAAGCGTTATCCTACTGTGGTGAGAGCTGGTTGCTAGCCAAATTGGTGGACAGTAATTTACGTCAATGTTTATGTCCCTAATATTGGTCATGTGAAAACAAGAACAAAGACTGACTTAACAATCAATTACAACAGACTTTCCGTAGGCGGATACAATTAGCAGATAGATGATATGACGTTCATGAAACAGCCACAAAGAGATCAAAGATTAACTTTTAGTGAGAAACAATCAATCAGAAGACTATGTTTGTCTGCTAACAATAATCTATATTAATGTATATGATTTCCTTAATAAACGATCTGTTACCTGGCCCTTGTTTTCTGGTGTTACACTACTATTGGAGATAAATAAGCCCAGGAGGGATACATGAACTAAACGAATACCTAGATAACAAAAATCGGTAATATGAAGAATGACGAACGCGTGTTATGAATTTTGATAAGTAACAAGATAATAAGATGAAGGCAGACCGGTTGCATATGAAATGGTTTACACATCAGAATAAGGAAATTCAGTAATGGAACTGAAACACGGGAGGTTACTGTTGGCTGCATCTTAAAATACAGTTAAGTATGCGCATTGACAAGTCAGTCTGTTGATGGACATTTTATACAACCTAACATCAAGGTGAGTTACAATTAAACTTCAGTAACTGAGTTGTGACACATTTACATAATATACAGGTATGTTTAATGGGAGAGTGATACATAGATAGAAAGTAAACACTGTCAACGGATAGCTTGTTATTTAAAATAAAAACTGAATCCACATTTATCATGGACAACAGAGAATAGAAGAAAACGTGAAATACATAGAAAGATTTATATGTATATGCACAGAGCGGTAGTGTGGAGTGTGCTACTGATAAAATTTATCAGTAGTATTTAAAGAGAGGTTCATCAGCATAAAATATCAAATACTACGGAGATACATTTGATGTCAGAGAAAGTAAATGATACAGCGTTGCGGAAATCGATGGGAGACGTGAAAGGAACATAAAGAAACGCACAATATGAAGGAAGACGAGAAGTGGAACAACACGGAAGATCTGTGCCAATGTTGCAGTGAAGATAAGGTGTACATAACTTGGCTTTGCAGAGATACCAAATTTCAAAATAAAAAAACATTCCTTTGCCAAGTCTTTCGTCTTCTACAGTTTCAGTAGCAACGCATGTAAGAGGGTAGGTAATATACAAGCTCAATTCGTATCGTCACCAGGAAACACAGTGACGTACATAAATGAAATATGAGTGAAATTAAACATGTTGCGAGGCTGTTTCACAAATACATTAGAATAAATGTATCAAAATACTAGTTCACTCATAATCCTATGTTTGTTGTAGAGCTTAGCAATACCCCGTTCGCTTTCAATCATTTTTTTAAAAATCCCTTTACGTTCCCAGTGGAACATAGGGTTTCAAGCGAGAGGCTTGAAGTTTCGGTAGTAGTGGTATTTAGTTTTATTTTTACTGGATGAGTTCGCTAGACTCACACCCATATATATATATATATGTACCACCTTGGCGAGGAAAAGTAGTGCGTCGGCCGGGGGTGAAACCCCGGACCACATGTGTGGTCGGCGAACATTCTACTGCTGTGCCATCAACGCACATTCCAATCATTAAATATTAATTATTTATAGTTAATGCAAATAGTATCATATGGAACAAGTCAGACATGAAAGGCGCATATGCATATAACACGACGTCAAAAGGTGATCAACTCACCTTCAAATCAACCCATTTGTCTAAATCTCTTTGACCATTAAATTGTATTAAACGTCCAGCAGTATTTACTACTAATGTTAAAGTTGTATTACCACCACTAGCAGCAGTATTATTAACTGAAGGTGATGTATTCTTAGTACTAGTAGCACTATTATTTGTCACATCTTCATGATCCGACGACGATTTCGATCGAGCAGAATTAATTTGAGAAGAACCACCGGGATTAAAGGAGGCAGAAGAGGAGGAGGCTGAAGCCGGGGGTGATGATGATGAAGATGAGACAACACAACACACATCAGTAAATACACTATTGAACATATCACCAAGAATAGCATTTCTTCCATGCAGTGGTAACGTCTCACGAATCTATAGTGATAAAAAAAATTAAGAAATAACCATAATAATTAAAGAATTATTGTTATTAGCAACATTAGTGTTTTAAATTACATGCAGACAATAGTATCGACCGGTTACATTTCAAAAAGCAGCAGTAAGAGGTATAACACTGAGAGTCGGTGGCACAGATGAAGAATGCTCACCAGTCCCTCCTCACGTGGTCCGGGACTCGATCCCTGGCAAACGGGCTCTCAAACTTCGCTTACCCGATAGTAATAAGCCCGGTAAAGAGGGAAGGCTGGGAGTGAGACTAGCAACAGAACCCCGTAAAAAGTAAACCCCACTGCTACTGAAACTTCAAAGTTGAAGCTTGAAGGCCATATGTTCCACTAGGAATGCAAAGGAAGGAAATAATATAACACTAAGCTGAATATCAGATAAATTAAGGGAAGTAACACAAATTTATGACTCTGTAGGTCCCATAGCAGGCCAGGGTCAGGGTAGGAATAATGGCTGAATTTGTTTCTTATCAATGCAGAGCTTCAGTTTTTTCTAAGCGAATCTCAATGGCCTCTGCTGTTTGGAGTGTTTGGTATCTAGAGGCCTTTGGGAATTTATTCGATATCTAATAGACGATAGAGACTCTAACGCTGACTAGCTTTGTGGCCTGTTAGGACGAGGTGATCTAATATCGAACTGTTGATGGTTTTCACCATAACTTTATTTAACCCCACTGGTAGATGTTCCCAAACACAAGAAATTAGGTTCCTGAACAATGGTCAACATAACTGGCTTCACACAGGAGCATTTGAATTAATAGATACAATAAAAGGTGGTTTGCTTTGGTACCTCACACCTTTCAGTGGTTCACTTTTCTATATCAGATGAACAAATAGGCACATATAATCAGTGTCGCTCAGTAACAATTTTGAATATGCAATCTGTCTCGTTTGTAAAGTGCTGACAATCTCATAAATCATACACAAACATAGATTTAACATTCTGAAATGTTTAAATACCTCAAACAAGCCAAATATATTACATGCATAACTAAGTATTAAGTCCTGTAGAATAAGAATACAGTAGAATTCTTTTTTAGACCTCTTATACATATATGATCAACCACACAGTACATAATAACTACACATGAATAAAGTGCTTCAAATAAAAGATTTCAGAGATAAATACTTTTTTTCCTAAATTTATGCAAATGATTTTAACTAACTAGTGTGATATAAAATGCTTCGAAAGGGGAAAGAGAAATTGCAATCAAGAAACCGAATGAATATATATATATATATATATGCATATATATGTCTAAAGTTTAATCACAGATTGACATCATTTAAAGGATCATTGAAAAAAGGGAGTATTGAACAAGTGTTTCGCCGTAGTTTGGGATTTTTCAACAATGTCCACCCCCCACTTAAGTAACTGAATGGTTAATGGACTTTTCTCGTTATCTGGTAGTCCTGGATATCACCTCCCAAGGTGAGGTTATTGGTGGTAGCGTAAGCTGAGGAGACCCAAACAAGGATGAAACAGCTAGTTGTCGCGTACTCCATGCTGGTTTTCAATGGTTTTCTGACTAATATCAATCAATGATCAAACTTGAAACTCATCAAATCCCTACAAGCCATCACTTAGAAAAAAATATATATGAGGTCATCATCACTGACTTGATAAAGAGATAAAATTTTTAAAATATCAGAATTTATTACTAATACTCCCCAAAACTGCATTGCGCTTTTTTATCATTTACTCTCCTAAATTTCACATGTAACAAATATAATTGTATCCATTTGTTACATTTTCATTTGAACATATGTAAAGTGTGTGTGTGTTGATTTGGATTGATACACTATGTATAAATTACCCGCCTAATTATACAAATACTATTAATTAACTATCTTGATACAAACAGTATTCTGAAACATTGTGTATTGTTATTACTACTGAATTAATATTTAATCCAATGGCTAAGAAAAAAATACTTCTACTTTTCAAGTGTGTGTTTGTAGGAATTGATTGGTTGGTTACAGGATTTCATCATGAGCTGACATTAGTTAGAGAACCAGTGGGAAACCTGGGAGTACTGGACGGCTGTTTCGTCCTAGTTTGGGACTCTTTATCAGCTCACACCAGGTTCGAACCCAGACCTTCTGGTTACAAGGCGACCTCGAACCCTGATGGGTGCGTACTGATGAAGAGTCTCAAACTGGGACGAAACACCTGTCCAGTACTCCCAGGTTTCCCACTGGTTCTCTAACCAATGTCAGCTCATGATGAAATCCTGTAACTTCTACTTTTCATAATGTTTTCTTCTACATGTAGACAAGTTCAATATTAACTTCATTTGCTCAACAATCCTTTCTTTTTAAACAAAAGTAGTATCAGTTACAGATGATATGTTAATCAACAACAAACAGATATAATGCGTTTTTTGTATATAAGGATTTATATTGAGAAAAAAATTGTCCAGGAAAAAGGAAACACAGTTAGATCTCACAACAACAACAACACCAACAACATAAACTGTTGTCAATTTAGATTCAATGTTCGGCCTACGCTAGAAGCTACCTGAATAAGAGTACTTGTTTTTGTTATAAGTGTCATTGTATTAGAACAGACTAAATATCAAGTTGTGGCCAGTGGAGTGCAGCAGGTTGGTTGTGAGAATAAATACTCGCCGATCACATTGGCTAGTGGTCGCGTTATATCATGAATTGGCAGATTTTCGAATTCATGGACCATTGTGTCAGATCCCAGTAGCTTAATGGTCTACGAGCTCACTTTCGAACCAGAAGCTCCTGGATTCGAACACTGTCGGTGGGGGCGTACCGTGAAGAGTTCCAAACTAGGACGAAACGGCTGTCCTGCACTCCCTATTGGTTTTCCAATGGTTCTCTAAATGATATCAATCCGTGATCAAGTTTGAAACAGATTAAATCCCTTCGAAATAACGGTTAGTAAATTGGTTCAGTATATTTTTCAGAAGTAAAACTATTTTCCAGCACGCTTCTCACCTTGTTACGCAACGTTCTTTTTGCCTACTAATCGCATTAGTTTTACATTTAAGCATTAGATGAACTATTTTATGCATTACATAACTCCTTACTTTTTTATCGCTTGTTGCTTAACTATGATTATAATAACCAATATTTTGTGTAAGTTAATTCTGACTTGTGTGTGTATCCTACTCAGTTTGTGTGGAGAATATTTCCGAGTGATCAGTTGGTTATATATATATATATATATATATATATATATATATATATATATAGTGTTGTGACTGGAGGCTCATTCTAGTCAAGTTAGACAGCAGCCACCAACACAACCAGGTTCCATTCCCGACTGACACACTACTAAACCTCACCTAGGTAGAAGCCAGCCCGGAAAAGACGTGAGGTTGACCGTGAGGCTAGCAACACAACGCCGTAAAAAAACGAAACCATCGTTACTGAAGCCTTATGTTCCACTCGGAACGTTAAAGAATGAAAAAGAAAATTAATATTAGTCATTATTCATTGGTTAGCATAAAACGCGAGTCATAATATACTACACTCACTTTGTTCCGTTTATTCTCCAAATACCAAAAACGAACATAACGGACACCAACAGTGACAAAAAATTGTCCAGTTGGACTGAAAGCAACTCCATAGATCTATGAAGAAAGAAGAACAAAATAAAATTTTTTTTATAAAAATAACAACATGAAACTCATTAGCAAGAATAATAAAATGTCGAAACATTAACCAAAAGCTAAATTTTACTCTATAATGATAATAATAATAATTCATACATAACTTTCAGCTAAGCGATATCGGAAAGTTGTATCGATTGAATGTAATATCAATAAACAATTCGCTGAAATAGTCGCTTGAAATTAAAACTAGTCGGCGTATATACATGCATACTTTCGGATAAGTATGCTTCAAACATACCTAAAGACCTCCCGAGATGAATTCAAGGAAAATAACAACAACACTGATACCGAAAAGTGTTTTTCTTTTGCATATATCTCTAGCAATGCAAATATTTGGTTTAACCAACGTATGTACAATCAGAAAAAAAACAACCTTACAATATCACCATGCAATTCGACATTATTATGTAATAATGGTATATATAAGGCTGCTTCTATCATCATTATACTAGATTTGAAAGTTATAACAGACAAAAAAAGTAGTCGGACATCATCACACTAGAAAAGAATAGCAAATAGTGAATTGTTAAATCTAAACTGAACTACGAAGCATGGGCAATTATCACTGTCACTGAGATTACTGACATTAAAGAATATCTTGAAGTCAACTGGTGGATTGATGACTAGCAGAGTGGAATCCAAGATGCACATTTCGTCCTGTTTGGGACTTATCTACTGGATGTACCTACATTCTCAAGTCATTAGGGTGGTGGTGTTCCCACCGAGGCTCGAACCCAGTACCACCCACAGTTTCAAACTCCAAAGCATTATCCACTAGACCACAGAAGCCAGCTCTTGTGCAATGAGTCATATCAATTATTTAATTCAATTTTAGATCTTCCCGTCGATTGAACAATTAACCGACGTGTTAATCTGAGACCAAGCACTTCGGCAAATAAATCGACAGTTAGATTTAAAAGTGAATTAAATAATTAATATGACTCGTTGCACAAGAGTTGGCTCTTGTGGTCTAGTGGATAACGCTTTGGCGCTTGAAACTATTGGAACTGGGTTCGAGCCTCATTTGGCATATCATCACTCCAGCTGGCCGACAAGTCCCACATAGGACAAAACGTGTATCCTGGATCCCACCCTGCTAGTAACCAATCCACTGATTGACTTCAAGTTACATGACCTGACATCGTCGAAGCATCTGCACAAGGAGCCGACATGTCAACCTCAGACCGAGCACCCCGGTCCAACCAATGAACATGATAATCTAGAATCGAATTACATAATATCACTTCCTATTGACAAGATTATTGTAAGTTTAGACCAGTGATCCAACACAAGACAACAGACACTGCTATATTAATATGAAGATCTGGTGATTATTCATGTCAACCATGAGTGTTTTCCAGTCAGGTCGATGCAGCACTCCAATTGATCTGATTTTATCTGAATGTGTTGCGTATACGAAGGAAACTATAATAAAACTGTTTTGAAAATCATAACCTTAACTATCTAATCACAATATTTATAAATATTTCAACGCTCCAAAGAACTTTATAATTATGATTATTATCCCTTCTTCTCCTAGACTACATATCACATGTTGATTTGATCCGCATTATTTGCCTTTTAACCTGTTTAATCTCTAATTATAATGCTTCTCAGTGCGATTGTGGGATACATTGATGTGTTGTTTTACGACGGCTATTTTGTTTGAGTAAAGTCAAGATGATTCTGATCTTGGACTGTCAGCTCGGATTGTTGGTGTGTAATTCTTGTGCACAGAGTTTCTGTTCCTACACCTTGTTGGGAATATCCCACTGGATTCTAAGGTACTGCTTGTAGTTGGATTTTGGTTAACTAAAAATGTATTCTATAGAAGTAAAGACCAAATGGCGTGAAAGAATCAGCAACAAGAAACTCTGATCGGGAACAAACCAACCAAGCAAGAGCCGATTGCTCAACAAATATGTAGGAGAAAATGGAGATGGATTGGGAAGGGGCTGAGGAGGTCGTCGAATGACCTAGCGCGCAGTGCAGGCCATCATTCAAGTGGAATCTCAATGGGAAGCGACGAGTGGGTCGTCGCTGCCAGAGTGACATGGAGGAGATCGTGTGGCGAGGAAGGAATAAGAGATTATGGGCAATATGGACTCAGCTGAAGAGGGTGGCAGAAGATAGGACAAAGTGGAGATGTGTGATTGAAGCCCTATGTCCTACTTGGAACCCAAGGGAATAATAATAACAGTGCTTGTTTTGTATTTAGAAACCTGCATTGCCTAACGCCACTGTTGAGAGAATTTTGAGTTTTTGATAATATTATTATTATTATTGAGTAGAGACCCACACAAACACATAGATTCCGATCACAAACAATCATCTTTTGTCTTCGTCTTTGGAGTATTTTGTGATTTTGAGTTTCTCAAGGAAGTTTCGGACAGCTGTACAGAATAGGACACAGAGATCTACGTTTAGAGACCACAACGAGTCAGTTTTGGTCATTAGACTGTGTACTTTCCAAATAATGACTGATTGAATCTAATCAAATGCCTCATTTGGAAATTAGAAAGGATTGCGTCTGATCAAGAGAGAATTCCATCACCATATTCCAGTATTGTATTTGTTAAAATTCACAGTAGGAGAAATGAAATGATCGCACACACGTCAATAACACTAAAAGCACTGATAGCTAGGTTAATTCTACAGAGACGATTGCAAAATTTAGTCAATCACTTTAGAAGTCTGATAAATTAGACATATTATTTGAATATGTAAGTATGTGTTCACTGGTACAATGCTTTGAACAGTTGTCATTAAACTAAGACAATATATGATAACCTGCTATCAATCAATTGATTCACCTGAAATCGCATACAACTTCTGACTTACAGAATATAGAAAACACTGAGCTGTTAACTAACTAACTAACTGGCTTGTTGACTGATTTTAACAGAGAAGTTTGTGCAGAAGTGCAGTAGATCAAATTGCTATCCCTTGCCATTTATCACACATAGGTAGAGAAAAAGAAAAAGGGGGCATTCAACACAAAACAACCTGCAGCGGTCAATACCTCAACTCCTCAACACCTCCTCTCCCATTAGCTACAAGACAGGTTCGGTTAGAAAACTATACCGGAGATCAGTAAAGTTTGCTCCAAAAAAAAACATCATTAGAAAACGAAATCAATCTCATCGATGAACGTTTAAGCAACCCCGGATATCCAAAACTATTCATGGAGAAGAAAAGTAAATTAAACGCTACATGACGAAGGTAGAGTTTATATGGTACTGTCGGGAAGAAGTCAGTGTTCCTTAAGTAACGATTCAAAGGTGATGAGATTGAAGAAAGAATTACCAAATGAATAGAAGATGCATTATTAACCAAGTATCAAGTCGCCAAACTGGTCCTCCTGTACAAAACAACCTGTTCAATTATTATTATTGTTCCCTTGGGTTCCTAGTGGAACATAGGGCTTCAACTGCATGTCTCCACTTGCTTCTGTCTTCTGCTGTGCTTTTCACCTGCATCCATGTTTGTCCGTACTGTTTCAACTCCTCTTCACATGATCTCCTCCATGTCACCCTTGCACCGACGACCCACTCGCCGCTTCCCTTTCGGATTCCACTCGAGCAATGGCCTGACGCGCGCGCGACGTCACCCAGCGGCCTCCTCAGACAGTATCCAATCCATCTCCACTTTCTCCTGCATATTTATTGGTTGGCAATTGGTTCTTGTTTTGTTAGTTCCCATAGTTTCTTGTTGGTGATTCTTTCCGGCCTAGCCATCTGAACTTCAGTATAGAGCCAGCGAAGACAGTTGTTGTTGAAGTAAGGTCTGCAACAGGCTGTTGGAAATATTCTTTGTGACCCGCCCGCCAAGTTTCTGATCCGTATAGAAGAACTGACTGACTTGACGTTGTTTGTATTGAAAATCCGACTGAATTTTGTTGTTGATTCTGGCTGAGTGACGAAGATTTCCAGATTGGTTTCAGATTGATGAATGTGTTTCTCGCCTTCCCGATTCTCACTCGATTTGACATCCTCGTCCGTTCCTCCAGTAGTGGAGACAATGCTCCCTAGATAAGTGAGTGAAGTAACCTCTTTCAAATCCCTACCGTTGATGGTGATTGGCGCTGGATGTTGCTGCTGTTGTTGTTGTTCAATTACATAAATCAAAGTCGACCAATTTCTAGCTCTCTGCAATGTATGAATTCACATGTATATGCCATAGCAAGTATGTTAAGAGAATCGAGCGACAGTTATCTACATGAGTTGTTGAATATGTGCCTAAGAATCTACGTATTAGAGATTCAATTGGATTTAAGAGCGTCATAGCTTGACATCTAGCTTACAAAAGACACCAAATCATCAGAGAAGAATCGTGTTTAGGTGCTGAATAGATAAAACTATTCAAGACTACTTCGAACTGCTGACGTTGTTACCATTAGGAGGGTGAAGCCTGAGTTTTGTATGCAAAAAGAGATAGTTACAAACTTATTACTACCTCGGTAAGAATTAACTCTTTTACCAAAACAACTTGTTGAAACTCCATATTTTATTTTTATGTGCAACATAACCCGATAATTGCAATCATCTGTTTCCATAATAATTCTTAATATCAAGTAATGGTTTTCAGGGATTTGACATCAGTCGACATTAGAATACCATTGGGAAAATTGTGAGTACTGGATAACTTTTCGTCCTAGTCTGGGACTCTTCAGAAGTACGCATCCATTGGGGATTGAACGCAAGACCTTCCGGCTGTCAAGCAAGCTTGTAAACCATTTAGCCACTAAGACCCTATCTAACTTAGAATAATGCATTTGTCTACAAGATTCTGCGCCGATCTGCCTACCTAATAACATTACATACAAGTATCACAAAGGTGAGATAGGCACGAATTTTTGTCCCGCAGTTGGTTTATGAAATTTCAACATCTAATTGGAAACATTTCAGTATCCATATTAGGGGATAGGTAAACGACACTTATAGTACCAGCACTTATGA